ACAAGTATTGAAAATCTTGAAAAAAAACGTAAAGAAGAAGTTCAACCAATAATGCCTAATATGGTCAAACGTGAAGAAGAAATTCTTCTGTCATTATCAATGGATCAAAATCAACAACGATTATTTGAATATACTTCACCTACTTACGAGCATCAAGGACCTCCAGTACCTGATAGAGCTGATCTTGAACAACTTGGGTATATATATAATTCATTATTATTATTATTTAAAAAAAAATAATATCGATTTATAGATACTTAGATCATGTTCGACAAGAAAAAGCAGTTGAACGTGCTGGTGGTTATACAAGAGAATATCCATGTTTACGTGCAGTTCAAGAAGCATTTGATATGTTATTATTTGTAAAAGAAAATCCTATAAATACTGTAAAAAAAGAATCTAAAGATGAAAACGAACCTATGGAAACTTAGTAAATAAATTAATATCTTTCTTTCTTATGTTCTAGATAAATTTCTATCGACAATATGCAATTACCATTACCTTTATCTATAAAAGGTATGACTGAACTTGATCGTGATCAATTTACACAAACCATCAATGTACCGTATGTTAACATTCCCGGTGAATGTATTCATTCATCTAAATGGAAAGATATTTTACTTATTTTACATGCATTAAAAAATGTTCGAGAATTAGACGGAAAATTAAAACAAGTTCTATTCGATCCGGATATAATTAAAACGAAAGAAGATATTATTAAACATATACCATCAATAAAAGACTATGTTGAACAATCATTTGATTTTATACAAATCACAATTACATATGCTAATTATACAATTGAACAAGTTATTAAAGCAATTATACCGGATGATTTAATAACAGATAAACGTGTTAATACTGGTTCGGGTTATAGTATTATTGGTCATATTGCACATTTTAATTTAAGAGATGAAGTTCTAGCATATAAATATATTATTGGTAAATAGAATATATATTATTTATTAAATAAATTCATTTTTTCTTTTGATAAGGGGATTGTAGCTCAAGTTATACTTGATAAACTATCGAATGTTAAAACTGTGGTGAATAAATTACATGAAATTGATACTGTTTATCGTAATTTTGAATTAGAAATAATTGCTGGTGATTTAAATACAATTGTAACATGTCGAGAAAGTAAAGCACTATTTCAATT